TCCCCGCGGGCGCGTGTGGTTGCCTGTTCACTTAGGCGCGCTTTACCGTTTTTTGTTTCGGCCGCGCGCGCGCCGCCCCGCCTATCGGCGGGCGTTGCGCGCGCGAACGGCCCGCGGCGCGTCTTTTTGTTTTTGTTTTTTTGTTTTTTTGCGGCGCGCGCGCGCGCCCCGCCAATCGGCGGGCGTGCGCGCGCGGCCGCGCGCGGCGGGCAGAGAGCATCGGCCCGAGGGCCTAATGACCATCACGAGTCCCTTCGACCATGTGGAGGCACTTTTCTCTCTCCCTCTCCCGCCACTAGGGCGGGCCCCTGGCGGCGGCCATAAACGCGCTCGCGAATCCTTCCCCCCCCGCCCCATAACGCACGCGCGCGTGCCCTTAAAAGAGGGCGCGCGCGCGTGCGCCCACCCCGCCCCTCTCCGCCCCTCCCCCCACCGACGACGACGACGATGCTGGCGTGGTCGACTTACCCTCCTTACCCTCCTTACCCTACTTACCCTACTTACCCTACTTACCCTACTTACCCTAGGTGCTTGTCGTTGCGAATTACCCTACTTCCCCTAGTAGAATTACCCTACTTCCCCTAGTAGATTTACCCTACTTCCCCTATGTGCTCTGTAGCTAAATTACCCTACTTACCCTATGTGCGTTTCCCTGATTTACCCTACTTTCCCATCAAACTGGGGGAATTCAATGCTCAGGGTTCTCTGGGTTCTCCGGAGGGTCTCCGAGGGGTTCTCCGAGTTCTCCGGGTTCTCCAGGTTCTCCGGGTTCTCCGGGTTCTCCGGCCGGGTTCTCCGGGTTCTCCGGGTTCTCCGGGGTTTCCGGGTTCTCCGGGGTTCTCCGGATTCTCCGAGGGTTCTCCAGGTTCTCCGGGAGTTCTCCGGGTTCTCCGGGTTCTCCGGGTTCTCCGGGTTCTCTGGCCGGGTTCTCCGGGTTCTCCGGGTTCTCCGGGGTTCTCCGGATTTTCCGGGTTCCCCGGGTTCTCCAGGTTCTCCGGAGGGTCTCCGAGGGGTTTTCCGGGTTCTCCGGGTTCTCCGGCCTGGTTCTCCGGGTTCTCCGGGTTCTCCGGGTTCTCCGGGTGCTCCGGGTTCTCCGGGGTCTCCGGGTTCTCCGCGGGTTCTCCGGAGGGTCTCCGAGAGTGGTTCTCCGGGTTCTCCGGGTTCTCCGGCCGGGTTCTCCGGGTTCTCCGGGTTCTCCGGGTTCTCCGGGGTTCTCCGGATTCTCCGGGTTCTCCAGGTTCTCCGGGTTCTCCGGAGGGTCTCCGAGCGGTTCTCCCGGTTCTCCGGGGTCTCCGGCCGGGTTCTCCGGGTTCTCCGGGTTCTCCGGGTTCTCCGGGTGCTCCGGGTTCTCCGGGGTTCTCCGGATTCTCCGGGGGTTCTCCGGGTTCTCCGGGAAATCTCCGGGTTCTCCAGCCAGGTTCTCCGGGGTTCTCCGGGTTCTCTGGGGTCTCCAAGGGTTCTCGGGGTTCTCCAGGTTCTCCGGGTTCTCCGGGTTCTCCGGATTCTCCGGGTTCTCCGGGTTCTCCGGGTTCTCCGGAGGGTTTCCGAGGAGTTCTCCGGGTTCTCCGGGTTCTCCGGGTTCTCCGGGTTCTCCGGGTTCTCCGGGTTCTCCGGGTTCTCCGGGTTCTCCGGGTTCTCCGGGGTTCTCCGGTTTCTCCGGGTTCTCCGGGTTCTCCGGGTTCTCCGGGGTTCTCCGGAATCTGCGGGGGTTCTCCGAGTTCTCCGGGAGTTCTCCTGGGTGTCTCCGGGGGTTCTCCGGGTTCTCCGGGGTCTCCAAGGGTTCTCGGGGTTTTCTCCAGGTTCTCCAGGTTCTCCGTGTCTCAGGGTTCCCCGGGTTCTCCGGGTTCTCCGGAGGTCTCCGAGGGTTTCTCCGGGTTTCTCAGGGTTGGGCTCCGGGGTTCCTCCGGGTTCTCCGGGTTCTCCGGGTTCTCGGGGTCTCCGGGTTCTCCGGGTTCTCCGAGGGTTCTCCGGGGGTTCTCCGGGGGTTCTCCGGGTTCTCCAGATTCTCCGGGTTCTCCGGGTTCTCCGGGTTCTCCGGGTTCTCCGGGTTCTCCGGGTTCTCCGGGTTTTCCGGGGGTTCTCCGGGTTCTCCGGGTTCTCCGGCCAGGTTCTCCGGGTTCTCCGGGTTCTCCGAAGGTTTTCTGGAGGGTCTCCGGGAATTCTCCGGGTTCTCGGATTCTCCGGGTTCTCCGGGTTCTCCGGGTTCTCCGGGTTCTCCGGGTTCTCCGGGGGATCTCCGGGGGTTCTCCGGGTTCCCCGGATTCTCCGGGTTCTCCGGGTTCTCCGGGTTCTCCGGGTTCTCTAGGTTCTCCGGGTTCTCCGGGTTCTCCGGGGTTCTCCGGGTTCTCCGGGTTCTCCGGGTTCTCCGGGTTCCGGGTTCTCCGGGGTTCTCCGGGTTCTCCGGGTTCTCCGGGTTCTCCGGGTTCTCCGGGTTCTCCGGGTTCTCCGGGGTTCTCCGGGTTCTCCGGGTTCTCCGGGGTTCTCCGGGTTCTCCGGGTTCTCTGGGTTCTCCGGGTTCTCCGGGTTCTCCGGGGTTCTCCGGGTTCTCCGGGTTCTCCGGGTTCTCCGGTTCTCCGGGTTCTCCGGGTTCTCCGGGGGTTCTCCGGGTTCTCCGGGAGGGTTCTCCGGGTTCTCCAGGAGGGTTTTCCGGGTTCTCCGGGTTCTCCGGGGGTTCTCTGGGTTCTCCGGGTTTTCCGGGAGGGTTTTCCGGGTTCTCCGGGGGTTCTCCGGGTTCTCCGGGTTCTCCGGGTTCTCCGGATTCTCCGGGTTCTCCGGGGGTTCTCCGGGTTCTCCGGGAGGGTTCTCCGGTTTCTCCGGGTTCTCCAGGGGTTCTCCGGGTTCTTTGGGTTCTCCGGGGGTTCTCCGGGTTCTCCGGGAGGGTTCTCCGGGGTCTCCGGGTTCTCCGGGGGTTCTCCGGGTTTTCCGGGAGGGTTCTCCGGGTTCTCCGGGTTCTCCGGGGGTTCTCCGGGTTCTCCGGGTTCTCCGGGAGGGTTCTCCGGGTTCTCTGGGTTCTCCGGGGGTTCTCCGGGTTCTCCGGGTTCTCCGGGTTCTCCGGATTCTCCGGGTTCTCCGGGTTCTCCGGGTTCTCCGGGGGTTCTCCGGGTTCTCCGGGAGGGTTCTCCGGGTTCTCCGGGTTCTCCGGGGGTTCTCCGGGTTCTCCGGGTTCTCCGGGTTCTCCGGGTTCTCCGGGTTCTCCGGGTTCTCCGGGTTCTCCGGGGGTTCTCCGGGTTCTCCGGGTTCTCCGGGGGTTCTCCGGGTTCTCCGGGTTTCTCCGGGTTCTCCGGGGGTTCTCCGGGTTCTCCGGGTTCTCCGGGTTCTCTCTGGGTTCTCCGGGTTCTCCGGGTTCTCCGGGGTTCTCCGGGGTTCTCCGGGTTCTCCGGGTTCTCCGGGTTCTCCGGGTTCTCCGGGTTCTCCGGGTTCTCCGGGTTCTCCGGGTTCTCCGGGGTTCTCCGGGTTCTCCGGGTTCTCCGGGGTTCTCCGGGTTCTCCGGGTTCTCCGGGTTCTCCGGGTTCTCCGGGTTCTCCGGGGTTCTCCGGATTCTCCGGGTTCTCCGGGTTCTCCGGGTTCTCCGGGGTTCTCCGGGTTCTCCGGGTTCTCCGGGTTCTCCGGGTTCTCGGGGTTCTCCGGGTTCTCCGGGTTCTCCGGGGTTCTCCGGGTTCTCCGGGTTCTCCGGATTCTCCGGGTTCTCCGGGTTCTCCGGGTTCTCCGGGAGGGTTCTCCGGAGAACCGGGCGCTATAGTGTTCATGAATGCGCAACCCCCTATCGTCTTCATCCTCATCGTCGTGGTTGCCGTCGTCGTTCACGTCCTCGTCGCCGCTGCCGCCGCCGGAGAAAGAGGAGAAGGAGGAGGAGGAGGAGGACGACGACATGCAGCTGCAGCAGAGTGAGCTGAAGGAGGAAAATGAGGAGAAGGATGAAGAGGGACACGAGGGGGAGGATGAGTGGATGAGGAGGAGGACAGGGCCGAAAGGAGGCAGGAGTGGAAAGAACGAGGGATGAGAAGAGGAGGATAAGGAGGAGGAAGAGGAGGAGCATGACAAGAAGACGGGTAGTCAGAGAGGAGGAGGCAGGAGAAGGAGGAAAGGAGCAAGAGACGGAGAAGGGGGAGGAAGAGAGAAGGAGGAGGATCGGGAGGAGGGAAGGAGGAGGAGAGGCAGCAGGGGGAGAGGGGAGGAGGATAAGGAGGAGGAGGAGGAGGAGGAGAAGAATGAGAAGGAGGAGGGGGAGCAAAAGGAGGAGACGACGTAGAGGGCATAGTGGAGCAGGAGGAGGAGGATGAGGCGGCGGCAGAGGAGGAGGAGGAGGAGGAGGAGGAGGAGGAGGAGGAGGAGGCGGAGGAGGGAGGAGGCGGAGGAAGAGGATGCGGTGAAGGCGGAGAAGGCGGAGAAGGCAGAGGCGGAGGCGGAGGCGGAGGCGGAGGAGGAGCACGGGGAGTGCGAGCACGGCCGAAGCCGTGCCGAGCCCGCCTGGGCCGCTCCAGGCAGGGCTCCCGCCGTCGAGGGGTCGAGAGGCGGACCTCTTGGACCCCTGGCGGAAGCCGGCGGAGTGCACGCCGAAGGGGCGGAAGAGCGGCTCCGCTGGCAGACGGTCGGGGCGAGGTCTTGACCTGGAGACCCCCCTTTTGGCCGCTGCTGGTCTCTGGGGGCCCTTTAGCGGGCCCCGGGACTACCATAACACGACTCAGGATGACAAACCGGTCCCGGGGAACGGGTCGAGACTTCTGGGGTCGACGTTACGGTCGTACCAAGGTATAAGATCGAGGTTGGTTCGGGGATAGTGCGCTAATGTTCTCTGTGCTTGTTGGGTGCCCTTGTGCAGCCTGGGGGAGGGTAGCCTCGAAAGTGCTCCAGTCTGGCCAGCGGATTGTCTCACGTTCTTGAAGGATGCTCTTCTGTGCTACGTCCGGCCGTGAGCTTGGCAGCAAGCGGACGGCGGCAAAACCGAACCCTCGTGTTAGCACACCCAAGAGGGCTTCAGAGGCGGCCGTGGGCCCTCTGAAGGTGGACGTTCTGACCGTGCCGAGCATGTTCGCGCGGTTCGGAAGGGCCGACCAGTGGCTCACGCTGGACTTCCTGCGGGCCTACCAGGTGCCGCTGGCGTACGGCAGGCTGGAGGAGTTCGGCGTGACCGGCGGCAGCGCCAAGGGCGCCCAGTCACTGCGGCTGGAGGCGGCCCGGTTGGTGCTTCGGTCTTCGGGTGGTAATTGATGTGCCTTCGCTGTCAAGACTCCACCTGGGTCCTGATAAAACACCGCGATCTGTTTACACGTTCGGCGTCCAGGGGAGCTGTTTTCGCCATCAGGGCTACTGGCAGAAGTTATTGCTAAGCGTGTCGCGCCGCCGATTCTGGTCCACCACGCTTCGGCGCGACACCACAACCGTGCCGCGGTCCTCAAGCATAAACTCCCCAAGTCTTTCCCAATCTTTCGCCCCGCGGGGCAGAGCGACATGCTGTCCACTTGAAGGGCACGGCGCGTCGCCAGGGCCGCCGCCGGGACACGCGAAGGAACAGTTTTTTCTGACCGTCTCAGAGAGCGAACTGCGGCGAAGAGGCGACCCTCGGGATCTGCTCGAGAGCTCGCGGGCCACGTGGGCCGCGACGTGGAGACCCCGGGACGCTTGAGGCCTCTGCACGCTGCTGCCCGACCCTGGCCCTCGCCATCTGGCAACACTGCGGCACATAAGCAAAACACGCGCTACATCCTTGGTGGCGAGCTCTGGGCGTCCTGGATACGGTCGGAGTAGATGGGGTCGGAGGGTCGCGCCGCATCGCCGATGCATCGGCGATGCATCGGCGATGCGGCTCGATCTGGGGCCAAATTTCCTCCACGCCGACGTTGCTGATGTATCGTCGACGTCGCCGATGCATCGCTGGTGCATCGCCGATGCGTCGCCGATGCATCGCCGATACGGCGCGATCCTCGTGGTGTGCATCCGGCGGCCGGTCCAGTGTGCGGGGCGCTGCGAGCAGGAGGGCCCCGCCGTCGGCGCAGCTCGCCCTGAGCGGAGGGGGTTGGCGCGGAAGGCCTGCGGGTCCCAGCGGGAGCAGGAGGGGGGGCGGCTCCGCCAGCCGATTTGGGGGGGGGTCCAGGGCTCGGTGGCCACATGCGAACCACACGCTGGGTTTCTAAATGAGCGGGGGGGGGGTACCCCCCCCGACGGGGGTCAACCTCGCCTCGTCGTCGCGACGCGACGGGGGTCGGAACGACTTCGGCGCGCGGTGGCTGCCCGCGATGGGGGTTCGATGTGAGGCTGTCGGCGGGGGTGACGCCCCCCCGACGCCTGTTAAGAAACTCGGAGTACCCCACCACCCCACGGATTTCTAGGGCGGGAGGTGGGGTTCAGTCTGCTCGGGAGGTCCCGAACGAAGCGAGCCCTACCTCCACCCTAAGAGATCGTGGGGAGGTGGGATGGGGTTCGCAGGTGGCCTCCTGAGGGTTCCCGGGGCGGGCCATAATTTGGCGGCGCGCAGAGGGGGGGGGGGGGGGGGCAGGGGGAGGGGGGAAGGGGGGAAGGCTTCTCAGAAGGGAGGGGGGGGGCAGGAGAAGGGAGGGGGGAAGGCTTCTCAGCAGCCGCGGGCCTCACATCTACAGACAAGGCCTGCGCCTTCTAAAGAACAGCCTTCTTCTCAGAAGCCTTACCCCCCCCTCCTCCTATCCCCCTTTGCGCGCCGCCAAAACATGGCGGTCAGCTCGGTACGTATGGACCATTAGCAGAGGCGCCCAACCCCCAAAGTGGGGGTGCGTTTTTCTCCATCTCAGGTCTCTGATGCCCATCTTCTGTTGCTCATGCCTCGTGCTGGTGCTCGAGGTCCTCGGCGACCCGCCCTTCTTGAGCGAGGTAAGCCGCCCCCTCCTCAGTCTCCTTCTCATGCGCCTTCTCCTCTCTCCGTCCTTCCTCCATCCTCCTCCTCCTCGAGGACCGGTTTATCGTCACGGGCATGGGAGACATCGATTTCTTCACCATGATTTACTGGGTTGTGGAGACTATCTCGACGGTGGGCTACGGTGAGCTCGCGCCCACGACGGAGCTCTCGCGGGTGGCGACTTGTGTGTTCATTTTCTCTGGCGTGGCTTTTCTGACCGTCGCCGCAACCAAAGTTATGGACATCATCTCGAGGCCTATGGTCGCTCAGCAGCACAAAGGGCGGAGGGGTCCAGGCGCAACCAACCAGACTAACCAGACAGCCAAACAAACAATTGAGGTCCGCCACCTCCAGCCTGGGGCACCCTCGAAGAAGAAAAACATGAGTAAGCATGAACTGTCGGAGCTCCGCGCGGATTTCTTGGATTTGCGCAGGGCCCCCCCTGGCGGCGTCTCCAGCGCCGCCCCTGGCGCGCCCCGCGCGCCAGAGAGGGGGGCCCAGCGCCGATCCAAGAAATTCGCACGGGCCTTCGAAAGTTGACGTTTATGCAGCCGTGTCTTCCGCTGCACCCGCAGCGGCCCGAAGATCACCGCGTTTCATGCTCTGCGGCCTGGGCCAGACACCCGCTCGTCTCCGGGAGTGCGGCGCGCGAGCGTGCGCAGGTGCTCGCGCGCCTCGCGGTTGTCGCGCGGCGCGACGCCTGCAGAGGCAGGCGACTGGCCATTTCGTGCCGGCTGCGCCGACTGATTCTGGAACGCCTGGCCCCTGGCAGGGCTCATTGCGACTCCTCCGACTCATTTTGATTCGATGTCGATCGATGGCGATTCCGTTTCGATTCGACGTCGGGTTCCGATCGATGCATTTCTGTTCTTCCATGCAGGCCTTGAGAGAGCCTGCCGCCCCCAGAGCCCTCCAGCCTGCGGTCGGGATCTTTTGGACGGTGTGTCGCGCCGACGGTTCTGGCCCACCACGCTTCGGACCACTGGGCTAATCAGAAGGCCTCCAGCGTTCTCGGAAGAGGAAGTTTCTTAGAAGGCAGGAGGCCTTCTGAGCCTTCCGAGAAGGCCCGCCCCCTCTGTTTACCCCCTGGGCGCGCCGCCGAAGTTGGCTCGGATCCAGGGACAAAAACGTAATACACATAAGACGGTGAGGATTTGTTGCTTAGCGTGTCGCGCCGACGGTTCTGGCCCACCACGCCTCGGATCGCTACGCCAACCACGTCCCAGCCGCCGAGTATCAATGGTCCGAGCCACTGCCAGCCTCCTGTCTCGCGAAGCGAAGCGACACGCAGCCCGCTTGCCGGGCACAGCGTGTCGCCTGGGCCGAGGCCGCGACACGCTGAGCAAAAGCGCCCGACCGCAGTTTCGCCCCCAGAGCCCCCGAGCCCATCCTCTGCGACCTGTGCCTCGCCACTGGCCGTTCCGAGGCCACTTGGAACCGGGGCCTACAAAACCAGGATTCCGAAAGCTCCAGCTGGAGAGAGACCCGGAGAAGGGAGAATTTCACGACCCACGGCCGCCTTTTTTTCGGGCGCGCCACAAAGTCCTGGCTTGTCAAAGTGCCCGTCTACGGGGCCCTGAGCTCTCTGCGGCCCCCCGCGGGGGGGCCCGAGAACGCCCCCTCCTCCTCCTCCCTGTCCTCCTCCTCCTCCTCCTCCTCCTCCTCCTCCTCCTCCTCCTCCTCATTAGCAGCAGCAGCAGCATCAGCAGCATCATCATCATCATCATCATCATCATCATCATCATCATCATCATCATCATCATCATCATCATCATCATCATTTTCAGCATCATCATCATCATCATCATTATCATCATCATTATCATCATCATCATCATCATCAGCATCATCATCATAATCATCATCAACAACATCATCATCATCATCATTATCAGCATCTTCATCATCATCATCATCATCATCATCATCATCATCATCATCATCATCATCATCATCATCATCATCATCATCATCATTGTCATCATCCCAGGCGCGTGTGCAGGTTCCTTCTGATCTCACTGTGCATCGAAGGATCGTGCAACCAAGCAGGTAGTAACATGGTAAAGCACCGATCCTGTCAAGAAGGAGCTGCCCCTGGCCAGGAATAATTCGGAGGGGACAGAAACACACAGACACTAATAAACGTATAATCCCAGGAATATCTTTGAAACTATGGGAAGTTGAGGGAAGACGGAACTCCAGGAAACATGGGCAAATCTTGGGACTTGTGTCTACTTACTTATGTGTCCCTGGGCCCTTCAGAGAGGAAACATCAGCATGGTAAAGCAACGCTCTCGTACCCCCCCCCGAGACGCCTAGAGATCGGGGAACGACCGCCCTCGGCGGAACAGGGCCGCGACCCGAGAGAGGCTTGGGCTCACTGCCGACCCGTGCCGGGCCGGTTGGACCCCGGCTCCCCTCGGCCCCGGGGGGCCCGCCGAGCGACCTTCCAGCGGGCGGCGGCGGCGGTCGCGGGGATGACGATGGCGACGGCGGCGAGCGCGACAGCAGCAAGCGCGACGACGGCGGTTCGACCGCGGCCGCGGCGGTGGCGATGGGGGCGACGTCGGCGGCAGCGAAGGCGACCGCGACCGCGACGGCGACCGCGACGGCGGCGGTTCGACGGCGCCCTCGGCACTGGCGGCGCCCCGAGGCAGAGGGAGGGCAGCGGGGCCTTGAAGAAGACGTCGCGCGGCCACGTCGTGCTCGTCGGGGGCGCCGTGAAGCACGCGGACGAGATCATGCTGACGGCGTTTATAGAGGTCGGCGGCGCGCAAGTTGTCGGCGGCGCGCCGAGGTGAGGAAGTTCGACGTTTTCTGTCGTTTTCGTCGGCTCCCGGGAGTTGTCCAGCCTCGGGGTGTTTCCAGCAGCTGCGCCTCGCCGAGGGCGTTCCGCGGGATGCCGGGATCGTCCCGAACGGCCGCCGGAGAGCCGAGTTGTGACCCAAAAGCCACGGGGCGTCCGAGAGGGGGCAGGCTTTCTGAGAAGGCGGCGGGGCTTATCAGAAGCCCTCCAGCCTTCTCGGAAGAGGAAGTTTGTTAGAAGGCAGGAGGCCTTCTGAGCTTTCCGAGAAGGCCCGCCCCCTCTGTTTACCCCCTGGGCGCGCCGCCGAAGTTGGCTCGAATCCAGGGACAAAAAACGTAACAAATAAAACACGGTGAGGATTTGTTGCCCAGCGTGTCGCGCCGACGGTTCTGGCCCACCACGCCTCGGACCGCCACGCCAACCACGTCCCAGCCGCCGAACATCAATGACCCGAGCCGCTCCCAGCCTCCTGTCCCGCGAAGCGAAGCGACACGCAGCCCGCTTGCCGGGCACAGCGTGTCGCCTGGGCCGCCGCCGCGACACGCTGAGCAAAAGCGCCTGACCGCAAACTTTCGGGGCTCCGCACGGATTTCTTGGGGCGGCGCTGGACCACCCCTGGCGGCGCCTCTGGCGCCTCCCCTGGCGCGCTCCGCTCCGCGCGCGGTGCAGCGCCAATCTGGGAGCACCGCGCGGACCTCCGAAAGTGTATGTTTGCGTTGCTTGGAGCCTTGTTTTTTCAGACCCCGGCAAGTTTACTTGCATGGACGGGGGGGGCCTGAACCTGAAGCAAGCCGCCAACGACTTGCGCGTGCGGAAATCGCGTAAGTCGAATGGCACTTGCACGCTAGTATTCGTTTTGAAGAGAGGCGAGAGGGGGGAGGGGCGAACGCCATGCAAGTAAACTTGCCTGAGTCTAAGAAACAGGCTCTTGCTGTTTGTTGTCCTTCTGTCCGAGGAGAAGCGGATACCCGCACTGCTGCCCACTCCTCGCTTTCGCACCGCTGGGACGTCCAGGGGGGTGGACCCATCGTCGCCACGGCTGGACATCCGCCTCAGAGTCCTGGCCAGAAAACGCTCCCGGGGAGAGGTCGGGTCGGGCGGGGCTAGGGACGAGGGTAACTTCGTTCCAGAGCGTTCTGGAACGCTCGCAGAGCGTTCTGGAACGCTCTGAGAAGGCCGCGGCGCCCGAGGCATCCTCCAGAGCCGCCGAATCTCAAAGGTTCTCGATGTATCCTCACCCGAATTTGTGTTCGTCCTGGCTTCGTCTTACCCGGGGGGAGGGCCGCGGTCTTCGGGCGGGCCGCCTCGGGGAGGGCAATGACGCCGTGGGGGGGGGGGGTCGAGGGTTGCAGAAGGGGGGCCCCAAAGGGCACCCTGGGGTGCACCCGCGTGCCCCGAAGGATCAGCCACGTGCAGAGGAGGGGCAGGGGGAGGTGGCGGCGGGGACGTCGGCAGTCTGCGAGGCTCTGACGAAGCCCGCCGCAGGCGCCAACATTTTTTTTCAGATTATACACGCCGTCGGCGCCGATTTCTTCGTTCAAGCAATGTTGCTGGGTCTCGGGTGGATCGCGGGCCGGGTCGCAGGTGGGTCGCGGGTGGGTCGAGGGTAATCTGTATATATATATATATATATATATATACACACAGACACCCTCCAATGGACTGTTCCTGGGTCTCTGTGGAGGGTGGTGGTGTGTAAATCACCACCGAGAGCCAGCGACTTTACACACCGCCTCCCTCCCTGAAGGTACATACAAAGTCCGTCGGGGGGTGTATGTGTACATATTTTCGTGGCGTAGAAGGCTTCTTAGAAGGAGGCTGCTTCTTAGAAGGCGCGGGCATTGTGTGTAGATGTAGGGCCGGCGCCTGCTAAGAAGCAGCCAATTTCTGAGAAGCCTTTCTCTATTCCCCCTCCCCTTCTCTGCGCGCCGAAGAAGGTGCACGAAAAGCACACGCTTCTGCACTCCTCGTGGATTGCCCCCCGTGAGCGACTTGGCATCGCTCGGACGTGTGCGTTTTTTCTCGGCGAGCACCGTCGAGTAGCATTTTGGGCCATCTTACGAGACAAACAAACAAGCACGCACGCAACCGAAAGATCCACGAGGAATGGGCGTCCGAGCGATTGCGAGGCGAGCACCCGTGGCATCTCTCGTCCCCGCACAAGTGGCCCCCGCCAGGGAGGGGGGGTCGGCCCTCCACCAGAGGGCCGCCTGGCCTTCCCGGGCACGCTCCGGGGGGGACTTTTGGGAGAGAGGCAGGGAAACGTTACCCGTGGGTCGTTGAAAGTAGGCGATCGAACATGGATCAAGGGGGCGTGGATTAGCGACGGGTCCCGTTTCCATTGAGAATCTCGGATTTCCGCCGCCGAGCGAGGCGGCACCGGCCGCATTTTGGGGAGGGCACCTCCCCCGATCCATGCATCTGGGGACCGCGCGCCAAATCCACGGATCGCTAATCCATGTTTGCGCGCCCCCGATGAAAGTAGGTATTTAGGGATTCGCTGATCCCAATCTACTTTAGGCGCCCTCCTACATTCAGGGGGCGAGTAGTTTCGCCTCCTCCCTCCTCTGCAGGGGGCGGGCGTGAGCGCAAACTGCTTTCAGCGCCATCCTACTTCATGGCTCTACCCACTTCTTCCGACCGACGGGCAGGGGGGTGATAGGCTCAGGGGGGACGCATCGACCCCCAGTCGGCCATTCATGGCCGATCGGGGCCTAATCGCCCACCCCGCCCAGGAGCGTGCGGCTCCCCTATCGGGGGCCCACCGCTGATCGATCGGGCATGCATCGCCGCTTCAAGCTCGGGCCCCTTTCTTCGAGTACAGTGGAAGCCCATACCAGAAGAGGCCATGCTTGCCTCCAGGGTGCCATGGGTTTCTTGGGCTTCGATGGCTTTGCTATGAAAAGCGTGACGCTCCCGCACCCAAGTATCCTGGCGAAGGACCCAACCATATGCAGTTGTGAGTATCGCAATTGTGAGTATCTTCTTCGGTGGCGCTCCCTATGGGGCCACGAACCGCATGAGGGGTGTGCCGAAATGTGGCGGGGTACACAACGCAAAGGAATACGATAGATCTGATTACGAGAGAAAGAACGCGGGTGAGTCAGAGCGCGAGGGAATCTGAGTATGAATGGGTCTGCGCGCGAGTGAATATATTTGCATGAATGCGATCATGGAACCGCCTAGTGTAAGTGTCGAGCATGCCTGTCCGAACACACGTGACACTGGGCGTGGCCGCCGCAGGCAGCTTCCGCGGGAACCCCGACGGCAGCGTCCGCACGTCGCGACGCCCATGTCGGCACGCCTCTTGCGAGGATCGCGCCCGCTTTCGGCTCTTTTTTTTCCTTCCTCTTTGCCCGCGCACTCCAAAATCCAAGGCTGCGGGCGCAGCGCAGCGCGGAGTCCCCGCGACGCGCGCTGGTCGCCCCGGGCGGGGTCCCAGCGACGCGCGCGGGTCGTCCGCTGCGCGAAGCAGAGAGAGCTGACTAGCTAACTGGCTGGCTGATAGCGGGCAAGTCTCTGACCGCTGGGCAGAGCGACGACGGGCGAACGAGGCGCCGGGCCCCCCGCAGCACGGAGTTCCCGCGACGCGCGCTGGTCGCCCCGAGAGGGTCCCAGCGACGCGCGCGGGTCGTCCGCGGCGCGAGGCCAAACAATTAGTCGGGCAGTCGAGAGAAGGCGCGGCTCGGGGGAGACGCTCCTCAGGTCAGGCCTCGCGGATGAACTCGGTGAAGCCGAGCTCCCTGGCGAGGGCCGTCGCTTCCCTCCTGCACCGCTTCGTGCGCGCCGCAAACTGCTCCAGCTGCTTCCGCAAGCCCTGCGGCGGCCCTGCCAGGAAGAACTCGATGCGCGGCGCCCGCATGAGCAGGAGGTCCTCGTGGCGCGTGGCGCGCGAGAGCAGCACGTAGAGCTCCAGCCACCAGTCGTCGTCCTCCTTCTTGCCGTTCCCTACCTCGTGGCGGCCGCAATCCAGGATCACGCCTGGGCGACGTCGACCGAGGGAGCAGCGCGCCGGGCAGCCGACGGCCCAGGGCGAGAGTCCACAGGACCGAGAGATGGTCTGGCCGCGGACTGCTCGCGCCCCGGAGGTCTGGCCGCCCCCGGAGCGCCGTTCCCCCGCCCCGTCGCCTTCGCGCATGGTGCGCCCCTGGCACGCCACCGTGGTGATGACCCTGCCGTGCGAGAAATGCGGGGGGTGTGCCGAAATGGGTGGGGGTGACGCATGCGGGCGGCGGCACTGAGGCCTTCGGTGGAGCTCCCTATGGAGCCACGAAACGTGTGAGGGGTGTGCCGAAATGGGTGTGGGGGACGCATGCGGCCGCGGGCACTGGGGCCTTCGGTGGAGCTCCCTATGGAGCCACGAAACGTGTGAGGGGTGTGCCGAAATGGGTGTGGGGGACGCATGCGGCCGCGGGCACTGGGGCCTTCGGTGGAGCTCCCTATGGAGCCACGAAACGTGTGAGGGGTGTGCCGAAATGGGTGTGGGGGACGCATGCGGCCGCGGGCACTGGGGCCTTCGGTGGAGCTCCCTATGGAGCCACGAAACGTGTGAGGGGTGTGCCGAAATGGGTGTGGGGGACGCATGCGGCCGCGGGCACTGGGGCCTTCGGTGGAGCTCCCTATGGAGCCACGAAACGTGTGAGGGGTGTGCCGAAATGGGTGTGGGGGACGCATGCGGCCGCGGGCACTGGGGCCTTCGGTGGAGCTCCCTATGGAGCCACGAAACGTGTGAGGGGTGTGCCGAAATGGGTGTGGGGGACGCATGCGGCCGCGGGCACTGGGGCCTTCGGTGGAGCTCCCTATGGAGCCACGAAACGTGTGAGGGGTGTGCCGAAATGGGTGTGGGGGACGCATGCGGCCGCGGGCACTGGGGCCTTCGGTGGAGCTCCCTATGGAGCCACGAAACGTGTGAGGGGTGTGCCGAAATGGGTGTGGGGGACGCATGCGGCCGCGGGCACTGGGGCCTTCGGTGGAGCTCCCTATGGAGCCACGAAACGTGTGAGGGGTGTGCCGAAATGGGGTGTGGGGGACGCATGCGGCCGCGGGCACTGGGGCCTTCGGTGGAGCTCCCTATGGAGCCACGAAACGTGTGAGGGGTGTGCCGAAATGGGTGTGGGGACGCATGCGGCCGCGGGCACTGGGGCCTTCGGTGGGCCTTCGTGTGGAGCTCCCTATGGAGCCACGAAACGTGTGAGGGGTGTGCATTGGGTGTGTTGCCGTGGGTGACGCATGCGGCCGCGGGCACTGGGGCCTTCGGTGGAGCTCCCTATGGAGCCACGAAACGTGTGAGGGGTGTGCCGAAATGGGTGTGGGGGACGCATGCGGCCGCGGGCACTGGGGCCTTCGGTGGAGCTCCCTATGGAGCCACGAAACGTGTGAGGGGTGTGCCGAAATGATGATGATGATGATGATGATGATGATGATGATGATGATGATGATGATGATGATGATGATGATGATGATGGGAGGGGGGAGGAGGCAGCGGGAAGGAAGGAAGGAAGGAAGGAAGGAAGGAGAACGCGGGGCACCGTCTCTTCAAAACGAGGACCCAACACCACAGGATGGTTGGGAAAAAACAATGGACGTCCTGGGGTCTCAAGGTTGGGTTTCTTGTGGAAGGTATCTTGTGGTCGAGCTCCTACTGGAGGAGATCGGCTACAGAATTGGCTTACCCCAAAAGTATTTGTCCGCCGGATCTACCAGCAATGCGTAGACTGTGCGTAGATATATTGGAATCCTACGTCGTCTTTGTTCGTAGACTCGGCGAGCAGGGATCAATTCTGGGGCAAGTCGACTCTGCAGTCGATCTCCTGCTCGAGCCAGCCGCTCCTCCTCAGAGAATGGGCGAGGCCCTTCCTGAGGCCGCCCCCCCCCCGCCCGCTTGGAGGACCGCCTCCGCCGCCACGCCCCCCCCCCCCCCCCCGACCCCCCCTGCGCGCCGCCGGGGAGGAGCTGTTCCACACCAGCTACAGGAGCCTGCTGGGCCTCCTCCTCTGCCTCCTCTCGAGCAGGGCTCATGTCCACTCCTCCGATTCGATTCGACTTCGATCGATTCCGATTCCGATTCTGATTCGATTCGATTTCGGACTCCGAGTGGGATTTCGGTTTCTCGTGGGAGGCCTTATTAGCCTGCCGATTTCAGACGATTCGATGTTACCCGACTTGGCTGCCGATTTTCGCCGACCCGATTCATTTCGATCGCCGATCCGACTTATCGGTTCGATGTTGGACTACCCTGCTCGAAGAAGACAGTTCGGCACAGGCAGAAACCCTCTCGGTGTGTTGTTTCGCTGACGAGTTGTCACGGCGCTCGAAGTGTCACGTCTGGGCGCAGGCCGCACCGCTCTTCCGGCCCTCTTGGGGGTAAGGGCGCCATCGAAGCGCCTGCGCCGATCCAGATCAGGCCCCTGCCGGGTCCAGGAGGGGTGCCGTCGCCTTCCTGGTTCAGCCTGGAAGGCGTTTCTGTGGGAACAGGCAACTGCGTAAGCGGAAAATGTCAGAAGCGCGCGCAGGGTTGGGTCGGCGCTGGACCCCCATCCCTCTTCTGCCCCTGGGCGTCGCGAAGAGAGAGAGAGAGGACGAAGGGCCGCTTCCCCAAATCCGTCGCCCCAGGGGCCGCTTTCGGGCCACTGGGCCAGCAAATAAGCGGCCCGCGACGGACAGCCAGCTGGTCCCATGGGCTGGGGTCGAGGAGGCCCTGGAGCCCACGTGGCGAAGAATCACGACGCTAGAGGCTCCCGATGCTGTTCCTCTCTGTCCTCCCGGTATTGTCAACGTTTTTTGTTCCCTCTCCTGCTCCTCCCACAGCCCTTTCCGGGCAAGAGAGACTGGCCGCAGGAACAACTGGCCCGACCTGGTGGTGCTGAGCCCCGCCGACAGCCTCCAGAGGTCGGACGGGGCTAGGAAGAGGATAAATCTTTTCCAGAGCGTTCCAGAACGCTCTCAGAGTGTTCCGGAACGCTCTCATGAGAACGCCGTGGCGCCCGATACATGCTCCAGAGCCGCCGAATCTCGGAGACTCTCTCGATTCATCCCCACTGGATTTTGTCCTCGTCCTGGCTTCGTCTTCAAGAGGGTGATGTCCCTGTTCAAGGGCGTGCTGTCCCCGCAGGCGTGGCAGCGGCTGACCTTCCTCGCCGGCACGCCCCTGAGTGTGGCCGACCTAGAGCGGTGCTGCTGCGGCTCCGCGACCCTGGTGTGCATCATGGCGGACTCGAGGGGTCGGCAGGACCCGGAGGAGGAGGACACCGGAGAAGAATCGGGGGGCTCAAGAGATTCGAAGAAGAAAACACGCCACATACATAAACTTTTGGCGCTCCGCGCGGATTTCTTGGACCTGCGCTGGGGCCCGGGGCCCCTGGCGGCGCCTCCGGCGCCGCCCCGGGCGCGCTCCGCGCGCCAGGGAGGGGGGTCGAGCGCAGATCCGGGAAGTCCGCGCAGACCGTCGAAAGTTTATGTTTATGCCGTTTTTCTTCCTCTAGGAGAAGAATCGGGGGCTCAAGAGACGTGGGTCAATGCCAACGGGAGTCAGTCAGAGCGCCGGATCTTGTAGGATGCTGCAGGGCCAGGGCTGCAGTGACCCGGGCTAGTGTGCAGGATCCTGCAGGATCTTGCAGGATCTTGCAAAGCCTAATTGACCTGGGTTTGGATTGACCTGGGCCAATAGATCCCCGAAAGAAAAGATTGCTAAACATAAATTTTCAGAGGTCCGCGCGGATGTCGTGGATCTGCGCTGGACCCCCCGGGTGGCGCCTCTAGCGCCGCCCCTGGCGCGCTCCGCGCGCCAGAGAGGAGGGCCCAGCGCCGACCGAAGAGATCCACACCAGCCTCCGAAAGTCCATGTTTACGCGCGGCGCCTCTTCAAGGATAAGGAGAACATTCTGAGGGCGATGGGCGTTCAGACCACCTATCCCGACACGCCCCTCAGGTTAATGCTGCTCATGCGGAAGTCCCGGGAGAGGGCGCTGAGCCTGGGCATCCACCGGCACTATTGTTTCTCAGTGAATGAGATGAAGCATGGCGTCTTTTGGCAGTCGTGCCGTTGCCTCGGTTGGAGTACCATGCTCTCCAATCTCATGGTCACAACCGAGGTGAATGAGACGCTCGTCAAAGATGAGTGGCTCCAGAACTACATTGTCGGCATGGGCCACGAAGTGTACGGCTTCCTGCCTACGGATGCTTTCCTTGGAAAGCCATTCTCGTACTTGGTCCGAGAGGCGTACAAGAAAAACGGCATTTGCGTTATGGCCGCGCAAATCAGAGGAGCCATCGTTCTTGCCCCATTCGGGCAGTTGAACGCGCTCACCCTGAGTAACCCCATCTTTGCTCTCGCGCAGGACGAGGACTCCCTGCGTGGGATTGCCCGCCAGAGCGAGGATTTGGACTGGCGCAAAGTGTTCCTGAAGAATCGGTCCAAGAGCTGGCAGCGTTCGAATACCTACAATAGCACAGGCACCTCGCCCCTGGATCTCCAACGAGCAGCGGCGACCATGGACGAAGACGCGATGGATATGGCGAGAACGAGCGCTAGCATTGGAACCATGCTGGATGGTAAACAAGAGTTCCGTGTTCGACGCGAATTGGAATCGATTCAAAACACCTCATGGTCAGATCAATTGAACGGAGGCCACGGTGGTGAGGATGAACTGAACAGCTCCGAGACGGACGACAATAGCGCCAGGGAAAAGCTGGACGGCGAACGGAAAGTGGAGTTGCAGAAGCTCAAGTTCCGGGCAAAGGAGTTCCGGAGGGCCGCGAAGGACGGCGAGACACCCTTCATATTGTTGCTCGAGATATCTGGCGACTGGTCGCAGATCCTACCACTCATCCAGCACAGCCGCGCGGATTACCTACCCGTTTGTATGCCAATCGTCGTGCTCTGCAGGCATCCTCCACCAGATAAAATCATCAAACAGTGGCTCGACTATGAAGACACATTGGCTTTCGTGGAGGGCACCCCAAATGACGTCGTTCATTTGGAGCGCGCGGGCATCAAGGAGTGCAGCACTGTTGTTTGCCTGCAGGCCGGAGGAAGACGAATGCAAGTGGAGGAATTTAGCGATATGGTGGACATCGACGTCATCATGCTACACCGCATGATCACGAATTTGAGTATCGCCCACAAGAGCGCCATCTTCGAGTTCAGACTTATGAAGAACATATTCCTACTCGGAAGGCCACACGCGCCCCCGGACGACGTGGAGACGCCCGGGCGCTTGTTGGCGGGCGTTACGATGCAGGGGCAGCAGCAGCCTGAGCCCGAGGACCACAAAGCGTACCTGGACCCAGTCTATGCGTCGGGGCAGGTGTTCACTCCCCAGGTGCTGGCTGGCCTGCTTGGGCTCACGTTCCACACGCCGGGGTTGCTCGAGGTGATGTCGGCGCTGATGATCCCGGACGGCGGGGACAGCGACAGCGTGGTGCCGTGGCAGAGCCGTGTCGAGCACAGCAGAGTGGGCGAGACCTACGGGCGGCTGTTCGAGACCATGGCCTGCCAGGAGCCCCCCGCGCTGCTGCTCGGCCTCTACCGCGGGTGCGGCATGCCCGAGGGCGGCGGCAACTCTGGCTACGTGTGGACGAACCCGCCTGCTGGGACTCTCTTGGTAACGCGGGTTCCAGAAGTATTTCATACTAATTTTTTGAGCGACCCGGCGTCCCTGTGGACGCCCGCCCCTCCCTTCCCTTCCCGTTCCCGTGCGCCCACTACATGCGTTGCTAATGTGGGTGTGATGCTGCTTGGCTGCGCATGTGAAGGAGTCCACGGGCGCCGCCGGCTGGGGGTCGCAACGCCGAGGGGGGAAGAATAGTATACCTTTCGCCGCGGGGAGCGCTGTCCCCCTCCCACCCCCCGAGAGAGGCGGCGGGGGGGCCTCCCCTTTACAACTTCAGGGCCAACATCACGCGTGGGCGGGAAACATATCGACGCTGGCCGGAGTCGAGTCTCGACCGATCGAACTCACACAGGGTGTGCCGTGGCGTTTCGGGGGAAGGCACCCCAGACATATCCGTATGCACGGACTCGCGGGCCGGGCCCCTGGGCCGCGACACCATGGATACGGGGCGTTTTTTGTTCGCGGGTGCCCCGCGCGGAACGTATGCATGCGTCCGCGGGATCGCGCCCCAGAATCCAGGCCGCGAAGGCGTGGGTCATTGTGGGTATGCCCGCCGCTCGTGAGGTACAGACAGACGTGCTCTTCCTGCTGGCGGAGCGAGGGTACGGCGAGATGCTGCACAGTAGGGGCCTGCTGGTCGGAAGCGCCTCCAAGCCGCGCATGCGGAGGTCCTCCAGCAACACCTGACGGCGTCTGGGATGGCGCCAGCAGAACACGTCGGCCGACCTTGGCTGGGCCATTCCTGGGCCCAGGATTGGCGCATCGAAGACATGGCGACGAAGACCGGCAGAAGTTCGTGCCCATTTTGAGTAGGGATTCGCTGTCGACGTCGCCGAGGACGTTGTACACTTGAGGCAAAAGTCTCCTGTCCAAGCGGTTTTGGACAACATTCGTTATTGTACATCGTACCCTTGTTTTCCGTACCCAGCTCGGGCGTGTCAAATCATGGTTTCTTGGCTTCGCCAGGGAAAGGCACCGATCCTGGGCCCAGGAAAGGCCGGGTCCGGATCAGCGCCAGTGTCCCGATGGCGTCCTCCGCCCCAGGGGGCCAGAAGAGCGGTGCGATTCGCGCCCAGACGTGACGCAGCGAGCGCCGTGAAAGTTCGGCGGGGAGGCAGCACAAGTCCAGAGGCCGCCCTTCTGGCAGGCAGGCGCCCGGCGCGATCTCTGCTATTGTCAAGCCGCGTAGTAAGGATGGGCACCCTTCCCAACGGTACATTTGCATCCTTGCCCCTCGGGCCCATCCTTGGTCACTTTCGTTGGCCGCGCCCCGCTCGCGAAGTGTCGACACGGTCTTCCAAGGCCACTGCATCCTTATCGGGCATCTTTATGGCACGGGTCAGCTGTAGATCAGCCGCAGGGCGTGAATGGACCCGCGTTTCGCGCGTCTTGGTCTGGGATGGCAGTGTTCGGCGTGCAGGCGCGAAGTCCGGTGACCCAGTTCTTGAGTGACCGCCTGTCGCTGGCTCGGAGGTGCTCCCCTGGCTGAGGAGACAGAGGGCAAGGAGGAGAACGGGGGGGGGGGACGGAGGAGTGGCAGGGAGGAGGGAGGAGGGCGAGGAAGGGAGGACGAGGGCGAGAAGGAGGATGAGTAGGAAGTAGGACGAGGGGGTCGAGGAGAAGGGAGGAAGAGGAGGAGGAGGAGTAGTAGGAGGAGGAGGAGGAGGAGGAGGAGGAGGAGGAGGAGGAGGGCGACGACGACATCGATGAGGACGGGGACGAAAGTGAAGGGGAGGACGATCTGCAGGTCGTTAGTCAAATCGTCTGAATCCAAGGAAGCATAACGATAAGCATTAACTTTCGGAGGTCCGCGCGGATTTCTCGGATCTGCGCTGCGGCGGGAGGGGGATCGAATAATAAAAGACTAAACAGCCGTTAACATTCGGAGGTCGGGCGGAGTTCTTGGGTCGACGCTGGACCCACCCCTGGCGGCGCCTCCCGCGTCGCCCCTGGCGCGCTCCGCAAGCCAGGGTGAGGGGGGGGGGGGGCGGGGGTGCAGCGCCGATCCGTGTGATCCAGCAAGACTTCCGAGAGCATGTGCTTGTGCCGCTTGTTCTTCGCCTGCGGAAGGCAGGTGAAGGTGGGGGGGGCGTCCCGCTGCCCACTTCTGGCGTCGGAGGGGATCGGCGGCGGCGGGCCGTGCTCACGCTCAGCATGAGGGGTGCCCTCCCGACTGCGGCTGCGAGAGGAGGAGGCGGAGGAGGAGGAGGAGGAGGAGGTGGCGCCAGAGTGTCCATGCTGAGTTCACGACAGGCTGTGACATGCATTACTGCACGATGTTGTGGAACATTCTGCAATTCTACGAGCATATAGGTCATCAGCAGTTGCTCGATCAAAGTGTTTTGGTTGAGTTTCCCCTTTATGTGTTGGTGTACGCGCTGTCTACATATCGATTGCCAAGGATCCTACTGTGCGACGGGGCCTTCGGGGCTCCGATTCGGCCAGGCAGAGGGATTGTGGCTGGCAGCACTTCGGCTACGTATGAAGCGAAAGTGTTCCTTCTCCCGACGATTGGTGAACCATAGAGGACGCCCCAACACGAGCCAGGGTTTGCACGACTTGTCTATCCATTCGTGGGGTCACGAGTTGCAGGGGGTTGCGAAACAGCTGAAAGGTCTGGCCACGATCCTCGCCACGGTCAGCACGCAGAATTTGTCAGTTCGCTTAGCCGAGAAGAGGCCGGTGGTTGCAGCAAATTCCACGAGGGCCCTCAAAGCTGTGCTGGACAAGTTGGGGACTCTTGAAGGCCGAGGTGGATGGGCGGCCACCAACTTGGGGATTGCTTTCTCCGCGGGAAAACATCCGGGTCATCCGTTTGCCAGGGCCGTCAGGAAGCAAACGTTTTCGAAAGTTCAGGCTCAGGATCACCAAGCTGCAGAGCCTGAAGCTTCCAAAGGCTAAAACGGCGCGTCTGTTCAGGACAGGGATCTTGCCCACAATCTCCTTCGGGATGGAGGTGCAGGGCATCACCCCGAGAGAGCGCCGCACCATTCGCAGGGCGGCAGCGAGAGCATGGGGAGTCAGCAAGAGAGGGCACAACTTGGACCTGATGTGGGCGATGGCACCCAAGAACGACCCGAGCTATCTTGCAGATGGGGTTATTCGGGAGGTATTATTGGGAAAGGTGGCATTCTTCGGACACGTCTAGGTTTGGACCTCGTCGGCATGGGGGCGCTCTCTCTACGGGGACCCGCAACAAGGCATTCAATGTCGTTGCTCAGAGTCTGGAAATGTCTCTAAGGGGAAGTCTTGGCTTGTGAGGACCCGACGCCCTATTTCGTCGATGCTCCTCTGGCTTTAGGAAGCTGGGTAGTATTGGGAAGGGCCTGCTGTACTGAAGAGTGCCCGAGGACAAAAGTTGATCTTGACTGAGAGCCCGCCGCAGTCTGTCGCCGATTATTGTATTGCCGATTCGAGTCGGAAATATCTTAGGAAGTACCTCAGTGCGACATTGAGGAATTCAGTGCACCCCTCCCCTTTTTCTGCCCAGGATTTCTGGCTTGAGGTTGCCGGTCGGACTGCCAAGAAGCTTGATGGGGAGGAGGGCCATTTTTTGTAACGAATCCCTGGGTGGGTCCCCGGCCGATTGAAAATTGAAATATTCAATCGGCGACTTCAATATTTGAGTTCAAGACCTCAGAATTGAATTCGGCCGCCGCCACTTCAATATTGGAGTTGGAAGCCCCAAATTGAAATATTGAAAAGATTCAATTCTGAACTCCAGAATTGAAATATTGAAATATTGAAATTTACATCTCAGTATTGAGTTTTAGCTCACTATTGGCTCTCAAACCCAAAATTGGGGTTTGAACTCCAATATTGAACTTACGAGGCCGTAGGCCGCGCCAGAGGAGAAAAGGGAAAAGCTCCACTTCCCAGGGGAGAGACAACGGGCAGAGGGGGGGAGGGGGAGGAGGTGGGGAGGAGGAGCAGGCCGTAGCATGAAAAGCACGCCCCGCCCAAAACAGTCACCCGAGGCGTTTGGTGACTGTTTCGGTCCCGCCCGCCCAGAACACTCACCAAGAGCCTTGGGTGACTGTTTTGGGCGGGGCGGAGCCGCGCGGGCGGGACATTAAAGCACGACGCAGCTCTCGCGGTAGCAGGCGTATGCTCTAGCGGGCTGGTCGGGTCGGGCGGGCGGGACATGAAAGCACGACGCAGCTCTCGAGGTAGCGTGCGCTTGCTCTAGCGGGCCAGTCGGGTCGGGCGGGCGAGACCTTAAAGGTTGACGCAGCTCTATAAGTAGCACACGCTTGCCCTAGCGGGCCGGTCGGGTCGGGCGGGCGGGACATTAAAGCACGACGCAGGTCTCGAGGTAGCGTGCGCTTGCTCTAGCTGGCCGGTCGGGTCGGGCCGGCGGGACGTTAAAGGTTGACGCAGCTCTCTAAGTGGCACACGCTTGCCCTAGCGGGCCGGTCGGGTCGGGCGAGCGCCGGGTCGGGCGGGCGGGACTTTCAAGTCGGACGCAGTTGGCGAGGTAGATCGAGGAGGAGGAGGAGGGCGAGGAGGAGGAGGAGGAGGAGGAGGAGATGGACAGATGCCTCGAACCTCAATTTTCGCAAGCCAATCGAAAGTCCAATATTGGACTTCCCAACCCCAGATATCGGGGTTGGGACCCCGATATCGGGGTTGGAACCCCGATATTGGACCAAGACCTCAATATTGAATCCCAAGATTGGGAAAGGTCAATATGTCAATCTGGAGTTTGAGAACTCCACTTTTGTTCCCCACATCCTGAGTGGGGTTCTTGTTCCCCACATCCTGAGTGGGGTTCTTGTTTTCCCAGAACACCCTCTCCTTCCCACCCACCTCCCGCTCCATCTTCCATACAGCACAATATTATTCCTACCACACACACCATACCATACCATAGTTCCTACCACACATACCATACCATACCATACCATACCATACCATACCACACCATACGTACCATACCGTACCATACCATACCATGGCGTACCATAGCATACCATACCATATCACACCAATGCCACACCGTACCATACCATACCATACCTCCAGTACCATACCATACCATATCATACCATACCGTACCATACCATACCTACGAGGAGGGTATCGGAAAACCATACTATTTACATGGTTTCGTGCCCCTCCCACCCTCCAGGGAGGCCCCGCCTGAGCGAGGAGGGTATCGGAATACCATACTATTTACATGGTTTCGTGCCCCTCCCACCCCTCCAGGGAGGCCCCGCCTGAGCGAGGAGGGTATCGGAAAACCATACTATTTACATGGTTTCGTGCCCCTCCCACCCCTCCAGGGAGGCCCCGCCTGAGCGAGGAGGGTATCCGAAAACCATACTATTTACATGGTTTCGTGCCCCGCCTAGGGTATCCGAAAACCATACTATTTACATGGTTTCGTGCCCCTCCCACCCTCCAGGGAGGCCCCGCCTGAGCGAGGAGGGTATCCGAAAACCATACTATTTACATGGTTTCGTGCCCCATCCCACCTCTCCAGGGAGGCAAAACCATACTATTTACATGGTTTCGTGCCCCTCCCACACCTCCAGGGAGGCCCCGCCTGAGCGAGGAGGGTATCGGAAACCATACTATTTACATGGTTTCGTGCCCCTCCCACCCCTCCAGGGAGGCCCCGCCTGAGCGAGGAGGGTATCGGAATACCATACTATTTACATGGTTTCGTGCCCCTCCCACCCCTCCAGGGAGGCCCCGCCTGAGCGAGGAGGGTATCGGAATACCATACTATTTACATGGTTTCGTGCCCCTCCCACCCCTCCAGGGAGGCCCCGCCTGAGCGAGGAGGGTATCGGAATACCATACTATTTACATGGTTTCGTGCCCCTCCCACCCCTCCAGGGAGGCCCCGCCTGAGCGAGGAGGGTATCGGAATACCATACTATTTACATGGTTTCGTGCCCCTCCCACCCCTCCAGGGAGGCCCCGCCTGAGCGAGGAGGGTATCGGAATACCATACTATTTACATGGTTTCGTGCCCCTCCCACCCCTCCAGGGAGGCCCCGCCTGAGCGAGGAGGGTATCGGAAACCATACTATTTACATGGTTTCGTGCCCCTCCCACCCCTCCAGGGAGGCCCCGCCTGAGCGAGGAGGGTATCGGAAAACCATACTATTTACATGGTTTCGTGCCCCTCCCACCCCTCCAGGGAGGCCCCGCCTGAGCGAGGAGGGAGGCCCCGCCTGAGCGAGGAAACCACCAACCAGGGGCCCCCCAAAGCGAGGAGG